TAAAAAGCCAAAAATTGTAGGCTCCACTGGGCACGGCATCTCTTCCACTAGTGGTTTACTTATAAAATGCCTTCACCTAAAGTTGTTTAATTTATGACCTTTGCAGCACCTGTTTGCTAAATTCCTCCTTCTCCCCAGCCCACACTGTAAGGAGAGGTAGACCGTAACGGTCGGGGCTCTATGTACAGTTACATTATTCATTCTTCCTGGCAATACTGCTCTCTCTTTAAAAGAAATCTATTTCTATCTTTGGTGTATCAGCATTTTTCAGTCATTAGTAAGTGGCACAGTCACCATCTAAATATAATTCAGTTTAAGAGAGTTCTGATTTTGTTTATGCCTGACTTTACCCTCCCTCAAGTACTGAACTAAATTTCCTGCAGCTATCTATAAGCCAGTAAAAGGTAACAAAGTTTGGGACCCAAGTTTGGAGGCCCCTTGATGTCAACTCGTGGATTTCTTTATAACGGATTGGGTTTATTTACTAAACGAGAATTGCGAAGAACTGACAAGGAAACCACAAATTCAGACTACAAAAAAAAGTGTGCATTACCACAAAAAGTGGGAATAATATTTACATTTATTACTATCACAACATCCAAACTTAAAGGGACGCTATAGTCACCAAAACAACTTTAGCTTAATGGAGCAGTGTTTTAGTGTATAGATCATGCCCCTGCAGTCACACTGCGCAATTATTTGCATTTAGGAGTTATATAACTTTTGTTTCTGTTCATGCGGCCATAGTCACACCTCCCCTGACTGACACAGCCTGCATGAAAAAAAAAGTTTCATTTTCAATCAGATGTAACTTTCTTTAAAAAAATTGTTCTCTCCTGCACTGTAAATTAAACTTTAATTACATACAGGAGGTTCCTGTGGGGTCTAGCAAGCTATTAACAGAACAGGAGATAAGCAATTCTAGATTAAACAGAATTTGCAATAAAGGAAGTGTAAACATTAGATGACTCTTTCCAGGAAGTGTTTAGTAAGACTGTGCAAGGAACATGCAGTGAGACTGGAGGAGCAAGATCTATACACCATAACTGCTTCATTAAGCTAAAGTTGTTTTGGTGACTATAGTGTCCCTTTAAAGTAGAAAGCACTCAAATGGGTCCATTAAATTGTACAGAGATTCCATAACTAAAGTTACATGGAATCAACACAGTAAAGGAGGAGACTATATTTAAAAGAAGAAAAACTACCACAACAAGAGGACATAGTCTTAAATTAGAGGGACAAAGGTTTAAAAATAATATCAGGAAGTATTACTTTACTGAGAGGGTAGTGGATGCATGGAATAGCCTTCCAGCTGAAGTGGTAGAGGTTAACACAGTAAAGGAGTTTAAGCATGCGTGGGATAGGCATAAGGTTATCCTAACTATAAGATAAGGCCAGGGACTAATGAAAGTATTTAAAAAATTTGGCATGTTTCTGTTTCAATCCAAATATCACGTGAGTGTATTTTTGTATTTTTGGGGATCTGTACATTAATGGCCACTTTCGGTCATGTACATATGCAATTTGTTAAGCAAGTTAAGGTGGATTTGCTCCTTTTTTATAAGAGAATACCCTTTTTGGGGGCTCGCTTGTTCTCCTTCATTCCTACCTTTAGGTGAACCCACCCATCCTGGACACCTGTCACCAAGGTGTAGCTGTTTTCCGATGCAGACTGATGAGCACTGAGCAGCAGATTAATTTGTTTGTGATTTTGCATAACTTATTTATATATGTTTAATACTTACCCAACTTTGAATTAGAAGTTGACATGTGAGTTGTATATATATTTCACTTATATTACATACTTTGGACAAACTCTCTAATGTCAATTTACTTAAAGTGACACAAGTGATTTATGTGTAAATAGTGGGTCATGTTTTTTAATTTTACAAAAAATGCAGACTTCAATAGAAATTGTCACTATTATAAATTTACTTTGTTACGCCCACCTGGCTGTCAATCAGATAACCAGTCCTGCTATTTCCGGGTTTGGTTACCTGGTTAAACTCAAGAGGCAGCAATTGCTCAGAGCACCTGCCTTGCAAAAACTTCTCATTGAGCTGCATTGGGAAGTCTGTGATTGGACAGCCACAGAAAGTCTGGGCGGGGTTGGAAAAGCTGCAGACAAGAGAACTGCAGCTATTGCAAATGAAAAAATGCATAATTAAATGCATGCATGTTTTTGTTGGGGTGTATATAATAAACAATACACACAAAGACGGATAAATGCTGAAAATTCACCCCACTGGTAACTATAGGCAGCAGACCTCGAACACAGAGGATTCCCTCACTCCCATGAAAAATAGGGATCAAAAATACAACAGGGAGAGAACCAGGTTGTGCCAAATAATGTCAAAGTATAAAAACATTCAGCATAAAAAGTTCAATATAAAAGTCCAAAAACCACAGTCGCAGATATTGAGTATTCGCCAAATGAGTTTCTTTTTTATATGAATTCCTTTTCCATGGGTACATGTAAAATGCATAAAACACGACAGCCTATGGTGTAGTGCTTCTTTGGAAGTGAGGACACAACTGAAAAATGTGCACCCACCATTAGGTAGTGCTTCTTATGGTATGCCATGGTATGACACATTTGGCATATCTCAATTTGTCCCTGGCATACCAAGAGAAGCACTACCTAGTTGATTTGTGATATTTATCCTTGGTGGGAATTATTCCACCTACACTGGAAGTACTGAGCGGTCTATCTGCTCTATAAAACAGGGGTGCACAAAAAGTAGATCCCCACCCCAGACGTTTTAATACTAAGCTTCAATAATACTTTGCCATTCTAAAGGCATGCAAAGCATCATGGGAGTTGTAGTTCTATAACTTCTGAGGATCTACCTCTTAGGCACCCCTGCTATAAAAAGTGGGTACAATATGTTATATCCATTTCTGTATTTCAGTGAACACTATATTGTTTCTCTTGTTTTTTGCATTATATTCTACCTATTCACCGAGGAGAATGAGGCCAATAAGATATCCCTGAGGCGTGAATTGTACCGTCCTACGCTTGATACTTTGAGCTTGAGATTATAGCTCCTTGCATGTGAGTGTTTTATCTCTTATTTATCACCACTCGTTTTTAAATGAGAATATTGCATTAGTGGATTTATCCTTCTCTATTTCATGAGAACTTCACACAGCACCTATGGGTAGGGAGTACAATACTACATGCTACTGAAACTGGAGCTTGTTTGAAGCTCCATATTATGTGAGTGCAAATTTTCCACCTAAGTGTTATGTGTCCTCACTTACAAAGTACTAAATCGAAGGCTGTTTTGTAGCCATGGGAAAGAAACTCACGTTAAAAGGAAGAAAACTTGTATATACTAAACAGTGATTTCTTCTTCTTCTTTTTTTTTTTTGCGTTTAGGCAGTGGAGTGTCCATTTGTTGAAAGCTGGCTAGCAAACTGTTACCATTAGATTTCAGAAGGTAAACGGGTGATACAATACGATATTACTATCAGTGGTGACTTGCAATGAGTCTTTGTGGTATCTCCAACATATTCCATAAAACCAGTTTTTAAAGATTTGGCAAAGCACAGCCTGTCTGTTGCTGCTGCCAAGATAATGCAGAAATATCCCGTCCGTGTAATCTGTATAAAGCTGTGCACAATTAGATGGATATTAGGTACGGGTAGCATATGAACAGTCAGTTCTTGAATTTCATATGTTGGAAGCAGGAGAAATGGGCAAGTGAAAAGATCTGAGTGACTCTAACAAGGACCAAATAGTAATGGCTAGACATCTGGGTCAGAGAATCTCCAAAACGGCAAGTCTTGTGGGGTGTTCATGATATGCATCTTTGGCCTACTGCAACGTGTGGGCTTGGACCTACAACTCCGATAGCCCCAAAGCTAATCTGACACTGGCCAGAAGTGGGACACCAAACAACCTGCGACAGGGTGAGTCTTGGGAGGTAGGTCAGACTGCTTCAATAACATATTGCATATTTTTGGTGTTGGGATTTGTTTTAAAAAATGATAATGATGTATGTTTATTCACTCTCTCTTTCATCTACATCTCAATCTACACACCGATATGGCTAGTATTACTAGTATTTAATTTGTCTTTCACATACACTTCAATATACACAACATCAATATAGCTGGTATTCCTTGCACAGTAAAAAGCAGAAAATGAATGTTATATAAAAACAAAACTTCTACAATCACCCCGAGTGCTTCCTAACACATCTCAGATATAATCTTGCAAGCAGTCCTGATTTGAGACCTGTGTTCCACAAATTCAAAGAGTGTTTCTCTGGAGTCCTGCTTCTCTGGACAAGGTATTAGCATGATTATTTTATTAAATGTGGTATATTGTAAGATAATTTAGGCCGGGCCCTCTTCACCTCCTTTCCCATATTCTATATGTGCGTTGTTAGGATTTCCTTTTCTTCTTTTACCTTTTATACTGCGCTGCGGAACATGTTGGCGCTATGTAAATATTAGTAATTGTCATGTGAGACCATTGCTGTCTGTTTATGCCAATGTAGGAATGCTTCTATGGTGCTTGGGGACAGGAGTCACATAACAAATCCGTGCAAAATCTACACTTTGACTACTGATTGACCTCTTCGTACAGATCAAGAATTTGTTTAGATTTGCTAATGACTAATAAATTGTGTAGATTTGCTACAATTTAATGGCATTATCTTTCAGAGATAACGTTATATATTTTACACATTTTAATAACACATTATTATTAATTGCAGTTATTCAGAGAGTCGCACTGCGCAGAGCTCTGTCCTGTCTATAGTCCCACTTGACATACTGTATATCTCTGTGCGCACAGCCTCAGTACACGTTGCCTTTACCCATTTCCCATGAGATGACATTAATCAGGGAATTTGCAAGAGGAAGGAGGGGTGGATTACCTTCCAAAAATACTATCAGCTGCTGCTGCCCAGTCATGATTCCACGCTGCCTCCCCCATTGCACCGCATTGCCAGGCCCCTCCGTTAACCCTGTATGTGGTCGTATACACCCTTACCTTGAAACAGTACGGAGCAGTAAGAGTCACTGATGTCGGAGTCCGGAGTCTGCACATTTTCAGCATGTAAGATGAAAACTCGCAGCATTCCGCCTGAGTGTATTCTTGTCACCCTTGTCTCTCCCTGAGCCGGACTGTCTGCACTGGGATCCCACTCTGATCCTCCCTCTCCAGCTCACTGCGGTGGTGAGTGGCTTTACATGGACTGGATGTCATACTATTAAAGGGATAGTAACACCTGCTCCACGAATCCAATCAGTCACGCAAAGTTTACGAATCTCAGGTTTTACATTGCATCGACTCATACGAAGCACTTTACATGATGTGTTTCTGGAATAGGATTTTAAGACAATTCTAGAGTTATTTACCAAACACTGAATTTTAGCAAATTATATTGAAATAGCTATTGAGGCTACAATAGCCAAAATGTGATTATAGGCAAGTTGGAGAATTTATCCAGTTTAGCTCGCCATTCAAATGTAATTTGTTAAAAGTCAGTATTTAGCAAATAATCCTGAAAAATGTTTCACTTCTCACTATGAATGCACTGATATGTTTTAGCTAAAAACATAAAATGTAAATATAAAACAACCAGTTAAATATCTGACCCCCCTGTAGTGTCAAGCACCCTCAGTTTCTCTTACCCCCTGTAGTGTGGCATTGCAGACCGTGGTAGAAGATATTTGCCCTTTCCTTGCTCAGTGATCACAGCTTCCTGTTAAACCAGGTAGAGGATAAAGATTCCCCACCTTGATCCGCGATGCCACACTACATAGCGGGAGTCAGGGTGGGGGGTTGCTCTGGGCACCCCCCTTCTACCATTCACCTGGACATTGTGCCAATGTCGCTCGAAAAAAATGATGCAGGCAGTTTTTTTTACCCCAAATACCCCATTGCGTCCTGAATACCAAAAAATCTAAACAAATGCACTGTCTGGTGACCTCGCAGAAGGACTCAGGCAGACATAGTAGTCTAGAGCCTCAAACATTAACTAATGTTATGAACAATGTACTCGAAAGAGCCCGACTTGCAAGACAGCAAATGGAGCTCAATTAAAAGATATCATCTACCTTACCTAGTCAAACACATCTCCACATATTAAAGGGATACTATAGGTGCCTTGAATACAAAGCTGTATTCCTGGCACTATAGCTCCCTCTGCCTCCCTCGTGCACGCCCCTCCTGTGGCGATCAGTAAAGGGTTAAAAACCCAGCTCTGCCTCATCCTTTTTCCTCCTCTAAATTTTGGCCCACGCTGTATAACAGTAGTTGTTATGGTGCTAGGATTGTTCTCTTACACAATGATTCAGTTATCCTTCTAGAACAGCACTCTTCCCCTAGTCAAATAGTCATTGCATGAATGTTGATTCATCTTTTGCTCAGCGGTGAGATGATATTAATAATAATAATAATAATAATAGCAAAGTATTTAACCAGGAAAGGTCCATTCAGATTGCTATGGTTTCCAATTCCTGGGGCAGCAATACTAGTGTGTTTTCTGCTGAGCACAAAGCATTTGCCTTTTATTTCCAGACCAAATATCAGCCTCAATGTGCTGGCTTTTTTTTTTTTTATTCTTTATTTTTGAGTGCATGAGGAAGAATAACAATAACATCATTGTGGTAAGTTTGATATAGACATACAATGCACATTTTTTGTTGTGATATGAGTCTGCCTACATTGGAGATTGGGTGTGCTAATTGGGAAGTAAAGTAAGGGGGGACTTACGGCCATAAGGACTTGTATTTGGTGTGGGGGTAGTATGGAGGTGGTATGCTGTTATTTGTATTAGTATATTCCTTTGTGAGATTCATAGGCTCGAGAAGTGTGGGGACAATTCACAGGCTACCCCCCTATTATGTGTAGGCTGCGTTGGTTGTGTTGTGTTTCAATAAGCGGGGAAAGTGTCAACTGCCCACTTGCATGGCTCAGAGTGGGACTTCTATTTTAATCGTTCTATGTTACCTGTTTTCCTCTACAATGGTAATACTACACTGTACAGAAGATAAGATCAGAGTGCCACGTAAGTACCCATAGTTTACAGTTACTGCGGTATGGTTTGTGTTGTCATATATAAGTAAATTAAATTCAACTAAATTCAAAATAAGTGAGTTAAATTCAACTGATACGGTACACTTCAAGAACGGAACATATTTGCAAAGTGAGGCTATCAAATATTTACAGAATAATGTAACATTTTGCGGTTTGGGAGGTATGAAGTATTATTAAGGAACCAGTCCTTCAATTTTAAATACTGATGAGTGTCATCGGAAACAGTCAGAAACAGTCTCTAGGCTACCGTTGCACGCACCATGGGATAGTATCGCCGAGTACCAGCGACACAAAGACTCATATTTTGCCTTGGCTTTCTCCAAGGTAAGCGCTTGTATATGAGCAGGTGTGTTTGCGCCCAGGTATGCCAGGGCTCTCCCCCGGTGGTCTCCCTTGGTTTCTGGGGCCCTTTTGTGGGTGAAGGCACCTTGTTGCTGAACGCTGAACTTTGGAACCTAAAACTGATCACATTGTTCCCGACTAGGGAGGACAGGGAGGGGCAGGGCAGGCCTTTGAATAAGGCTGAATGAATTCAGTTCCTCAGGTACCTGGTCTGTGCTGTTCCTTGCTCCCTGGGTTACTGGAAGTTGAATTTGCAGAGGAGGGGGCCAGGCCCGTTTTGTGGGTTCTAGATGGCTGGAACGGTATGAGCTTATCTATCTCCCAATTATGTAGTGTTCTTCACCACGGTACCTGCGTCTCCTGCTCCAGATGGCGTTTTAGGCCCAAGGCCTGGAGCGATGCGTCCAATTCTGCGGCTGTGGTAAGTCGTAAGTTCCTCTCTCCTTGCGATATGACCAGGCAGCTGGGGAAGCCCCAATGGTATGGAATCGAGTGGTTGCATAGTGTCGAGGTCAGAGGTTTGAACTGGCTTCTCCATAACAGCGTAGGTCTGGATAGATCCTGAAAGAATACGAGGTGAGCATTATCGAAGGGATAGGTGGGTTGTCCCCTAACTGCCACCATTACTTGTAGTTGCGCTGGTCTCGTCTGGATGATAACGTCCCTTGGGGAGTCCGCTGGGGCCTTCGTAGCTTTAGGTATGCGGAATATCCCATCCACCGGGACTTGCTTGTTCTGCCTGGGGTTTAGTATGGTGCTCAGCAGCCTCCTGGTATAGTGGGGCAGCTCCTCAGACGTGATTGACTCAGGGATGCCCTGGTCTTAATATTTCTGCTCCTGTGCCTGTCCTCCATGGTGTCCATTCGAGTGATAAGTTGTGCTTGGGCTTTTTGGAGCTCTGCTGTCAGGGTCTCCATTGTTAAGCATCTGGAGAAGAGTCCCTGTGTGTCTGTTTCGACTGCAGTTACGCGTCCCTCCATATTGTGTATGTCTTCTCGCGATGTCTGACGCAAATAGCCCTCGGATGTTGCAGAGGAGCGCCTTAATGTCGGCCTTGCTAGCTGGCAGTTCGTTACCTTCATCAGAGGAGTTGTGATGGAGCCCCCCTGCGGCTGGGATCTCGTCCAGCTCGTCCACAGCCCGTTCTTCGTAGGAGGCTGAGAGCAAGTCGCCATTTTCAAGGCCCTGGAAGGTCGGAGCAGGAGATCTGGGATCTTGGGATCCCGCTGGTTTAACGGGTCCCTGGTGTCTGGACTTCTTCCCTATGTTGGTAATGGGTATTTTGCTGCACAACAAGCGATTTTAGGCATGTTTGATAGCTTTTACAGGCTTGTTGTAGCGGAGCTCTTTTGCAGCACGTCTGCTCTGTTCGGCCGCTAACTCCACCCCCAATGTGCTGGCTTTAATAACATTTTACACCACAATTATTTATTAACAGGTTTATTTACTAAATTGAGAATTCAGAGAGAATTTCAAATTTAACCCAGTAAGGATGGAAGCAATTGTACACAATTGATCAAAACAAAATGTAAACAAAACCTGATATTTGCGCTATATGCCTGTTCAACCGTAATTCACCTCTTAAATATTTTGTGCACCCACACTTATCATATATCATTTTGTTCAGGAGAAACAGGGCTTTCATTTCACATCAACTATTCATATATATATAACAATTTATTATGAAAAAAATCTTAAAAAGTGTGAGAAATTTCATTTATTTTTTTAACTATGAATGTCATAATACTGTTTGCTTTTACTGCAATAAAATGCACATATTTGTATTTATTTTTTGTATTTGCTTAAGTAGAAAACCCCAGGGTATTCAATATGGGGTACGTCCAGCCTTTTTTAGTAGCCACTCTGTCACAATCACTGGCCAAAGTTAGCCTTCATATTAGTTTTTTGCATTTGTCACACAAAAACAAAACTTAACATTAACTTTGGCCAGTGTTTGTGGCTACTAATAAAGACAGGACATACCCCACTTGCAATACCTTGGGTTGTCTACTATTGCAAATTGTATGCCATCATGGGGATAAGTTTCATTCCTGGGCTACCATACGGTCTCAAAGGCAACGTAACCAATCTGGCGAATTTTAATGTGAAAAAACTGAAACACAAGCCTATTTGACTCTGAAACATTTGAAAACATGATAATACCTGTACATGAGGGGTAATGTTATATTCAGGAGAATTTGCTGAACACAAACATTAGTGTTTCAAAACCATAAAACGTATAACAAGAATTATATAGTCAGTGTAATTGCCGTTTGTGTGTGAAATATGCGAAAAACTTCACTTTCACTGATGATATCATCGTTGTAATACATTTTACTGTTTTGTAACACTAATATTTGTGTTCAGCGAAGTCTCCCGAGTAAAACAGTACCCCCCATGTACAGGTTTTACAGTGTCTTGGAAAGTTACAGGGTTAAATATGGTGCTTGTGAATTAAATTCTCTGGACTTTCTGCCTGGGTTGAAAGGCACGTTCCTCAAATTATAATTAATTAAATCACGTAATTATGTTAAAAAATTACATGAATATACATATATATTATATATATGTGTTACTTCATTCAAAGTGTATTTTAATAGTAATATTTATAATTATATTAATATTAAAATACACTAAGTATGAAGTTACATTAAATGAGGGACGGCATAGAATGTGTATTCCTGACACTATAGATCTAATAGTGTTGTGTAGGTGGTCGGTCCTGCTCTCCCTGCAGTTAAAAAGTGATTTACTCACCTTTTTCCAGTGCCTCCTCTCCTAGCTCTGACCCCTTGGCTGAGATCATTAAAAGCTATCACACACGCATGGCAAAACACTGCGCCAATCAGCATCTCCTCATATGCATGGAACCAGTGCATCTCTATGAAGAACGTTCAGCGCCTCCATGCAGTGTGTGAAGATGCTGAACATCAATGCTGCACATTATGCAGCAACATAGACACAGAAAGCACCTCTAGTGGCTGTCTGAGTGACTGCCACTAGAGGTGTTACTAGGCAGTGATGTACACACTGCATCGTCTCTGAAAGGGATTAAAATGCCTGTAGGAGATGTTGTTGACAGTAGTGTCCCTCTAAGGCCAGAATAGCTAAGCTGAAAGTATAGCCCAGTGGTTCCCAAACTTTTTAGGTTTAAAAGGGACAATGTAGGCACCCAGACCACTTCAGCCCATTGAAGGGGTCTGGGTACTAACTCCCATCACCCTTAACCCTGCAAGTGTATTTATTGCAGTTTTTATAAACTGCAATAATTACCTCTATGGGTTAACTCCTACTCTATTGCCGCGCATTAGGCTTCCCCTGCCAGCTGACGTCTGCAGGGGAGGAGTGTGGGCGGAGCCTGACCCAGCGCCAAGGGACATTGGCGTTGGATTAAGGTGACTGAAGGGGTCTTAACCCCTTTAGCAACGTCGGATGGTGGGTGAGAGGGACTGGGGCATTCCAGGATTCTACAGTGCCAGGAAAACGGGTTTGTTTTCCTGGCACTGGAGAATCCCTTTAATATTTCAATATTTTTCCAAGACGCCCCAAGTAAAAAAAACAACTCTAGGTTGTATATATGTACAGCACTGCGGCATATGCTTTGTTCCCTGTTCTGTAGAAATGTTTCCAGGTAAGGGGCGGATCCAGAACCTAATCTCGGGAGCGGCACTGGGAGATTATTTAAAGAAACAATCGAGGCACAATAACCACTACAGCACTCTGTAGTGGTTTTGGTGCCAGGAGTGCCGTAGTGGCCATCCACGGTAAGCAGTCTAACTGTTTAAGAACAGCTTGACAACTTATCTGGGGTCTGCCAGAATAGCGGCTGTAGTAGGGGCAGGTGTGTGCGTGTGAGGGGCGAAGATTGTGGGTTAAAGTGTGTGTGAGGAGTGCAGTGCGTGTGATGGGTGCAGTGTGTGTACAGGCTTGCATTTTGTTTGTGAAGGATGTAGTGTGTGTGTGTGTGTGTGTGTATTGGGGCAATGTGTGTGCATTGGTTGCAGTATGTGTGAGAGGTACAGTGTGTCTATGGAGAGCAGTTTGTGTGTGTATATGGGGGGCAGTGTGTGTGTGTGTGTGTGTGTGTGTGTATGGGGGAAGGGCAAATTAATAGAACTATACTTTTGTATTTTAAAAATATATATATATATTTTCATATCCTCCTGCAACGACAGGCGAAAGAGAGCTGATACCAAGCGATCCAAGAGGGCTAACGGCACACGGTGTCCGAGTACAAGTACAGCACAACATAAGCTACTGAATGGTACCAGCACCGGTGCGCCGCAGAAAAACCTGTTACGGCCATGTGGCCTAAACCAGAGTGAAGCCTGGGGCCCGGGGAAAGCGGCCGTTTTCCCGGCACAGGACGAGCTCCCTGGCGAGAGCACGCTACAGCCCTGCTACCCCCCCCTTTGGACCGGCGGGGGATATCTCGGTCCTCGCAGGGGACGAATTGCCCCGCAAATCTAACTGCCCAGGCCACACGAACTTTGTCCAAGCGGGACCATCAGGGCCCAGCTAAAATGGCGGCGCAGACGCCGAACAAAAAAAGGTGCACTATCTCCAAGCCACCTAAACACACCCCGGTGTTCCTTGACCAGCTTTGCGCCTACCTATGGACGAAATGGGGGGCCAGGAAACAGCCTTTCAAACTGGCGGTGAAGGCGGCTATGGCGTGGATCCGCCCAACAGTCCAGCGCTGCCTACGGGGATACCCCCCATGGGGACCCAGGACAGCCTCCCGTCGGCAACGAAACCAGAGAGCAGAAAGGAGGGAGAAGGCACAAAGTACCTCGGACGACGGTTCACACGCCCTCACGCTCCAGAGCAGGACCTACCGGAATGCCCGACCTGCCCACCGTCCAGCAGTCCCAGCATCAGTCCCCCTGCAGTGCACATCACCACATGGAGGCATTGACAGGGCCCACAGCGACATTAAGCGCACTGCAGCAGGGTCGGGGACCGACGGATGCATCCAGCGGAGAGCCTTTCCATCATCACTCAGAGTGAGAGCACGGAGGGGGCACCTGCCATGCCGCAACAGCAAAGTGACCATTACCTTTCCGAACAAGCGGGCCGCCGCCGGGCAAGTCTCCCCCAAGCTAGACAATTCTATACACCCGGTGGGCATAGGCTGAAAGGGACGCCCCAGAAAGAGAGTGGTGCTGGACTCTGGCCTCTACAATATGCACCCAAAGGGACATTGTCACAGACCCTCCTGAAATCGGCCTAGATGCCAACTTCTACACACTACTTGATATGCCACCAGCTAAGCTTTATTTTAGACCTGTTGTCCACTTATTTTATTTTACTTTATTGTATTTTATTTTACATGCCTCCTATTTGACTCAACTGTGCATCTGAATTAGTTGTATGTCGGTAAAACGGCGAGCTCGATCCCAGTAGCTTACATAATAAGCTGGTTTCTCTAGCCTGCAACCACACAGTTGGCAATTAAACTATGCCCACTGGTACATGCGTGACAGGCAGTCGAGCAGTAAATGCACAAACATCTGCAAGTGAACCATAACTAGCTTGTAGCTCAGCATCTACTTAAGATACAAGCAGTTCCCCCAGGTTTTAGCTACCTTATCTGATCCACTCATATTAAGTCAGTGAACTAGGTCTGTATTTATGAGTGACCAAATACTTATGTACTTATGGCCTGCAAACATCTGGTTATATGCTGTTTTACTTTAATCTTGCCCATGTAAGTTTCGCATAATTATTTTCTGTCTATGACATAGCGTAAAACCGTACTATCTAGAAGGACACAAGCGATATTGTTCCGTATTATGTTTTGAAATGTTTAAGCAACGTAAATATGTATTGTTCATAACGTTACTAACTTTTAAAAAATGTGCTAGACCCCACGTCTACCCCAATGATTAAACTGTTTATCATGCGCTAGAGGAATGCCTTTGGGGTACCTCACAAGCGACTGTTAAAATCACATGCACAACTAAAATAAAGAATTTAAAAAAAAAAAAAGGGGAGCTCACCTATTTATTGCTCCAACCAAACCCCTAACTCTGAATTGAAAGTACAAGTTGCAGAAAATACACGATGGCTAGTGCTTCTCACACTCTTCTGCAACACCCACCTCCAGTCCATATTTACTCCTCCGACAGCCTTCTGGGATTTGCCGTTAGGTGACACTTTCCCAAACAGGCTCAACCTCGCCTGATGCAGATATGCTGGCTTTGTTTTTGCGATCCGGGGCTAGCAGCATTGGTTATGGTGTTACCATAGCAACAGCAGCAGGTGCATTATGGTTGCTATGCATGAACAGCAGAAGAACCGCCGGTGAGAAGTATTTTCTTTTGTCGATTATTAAACTGTACACCGAACAACTGATTGGCAGGTAAGAGAAAAAACTACTTTAAATTAGTTTTTTCCTACTCCATACATTTTCTAGCAAATCTGCTTGCACAATGTATATAGATAGAATGTTATACTGTACCAGACATGGCAGATACCCTTTACATGAACATTTTTATAAAAATATATTTTCAAGGCATTATAAAGAGTAAAATATATTATCAATTTTTGAATCTTATATTAGCATGGTGAGATGTGCACAGCACATTGTTCTATCAAATTTTGGTTTTCATTCAAGTTTGGTTTGGGGGAAAACATAATTCAGCATGCATCTGTATGCCATTTCATCTGTGTGGGTGGAGTGTCCCTTTCAGATTTTGCAGGTTACCAGGGGCAAGCCACTGATGATACAAAGGTCTTTGGCCCAATAATAAATACCTATTATAAAATAACATTTGCAGGGATTTATTTTTTTTGACCGGTCAAAACACAACCTATTTCCTCTCATGCAATATTTATCAGTGTAAAATACATTGTTGTACCTAAAGGTATGTAACTTATATGGTTTATACTCTATTAATATAATTACCTTTTTGTGTCATTTTACCCCACTCCCTCTAGCATGTAAGCTCATTGAGCAGGGCCCTCAACCCCTCTGTTCCTGTGTCTCCAACTTGTCTGCTTACAACTACATGTCTGTTCGTCCACCCATTGTAAAGCGCTGCGGAATTTGACGGCGCTCTATAAATATCATAATAATATAAATACATTATAGATATATCCTGGCTTTCTGGCACATTGTATAATTTTATCCACCAGTTTTAACCCTTTCATTTGTAACAAGGGATGCATAGCAAGCATATAATTAAAAAAAAATAAACATGTATACAGATAGCCTCAAAATTAAAATATGTGAATGTTCACAATTATTTTGTCAATTCATCCTTTGTCGTAATGTTAGGAAAATAATTATATATGGTTATATTATATACCTTGCCTATAGGTATTTGTACGAACGCTGAAGGCATTACTAGCAGCACAGCTTACTAAAAATGGCAAGAGAATGTAAAAAGAAAATGTGCTGTATTGAACATAATGCCCACATCCAGTGAATGGGTAAATCTTACATTTCTAAAATAAAGGCATTTAAAACAGTCATAGCAATCTTTGAAAAATGAAAGCAATGCCAACGGTGGCATGCAAAACAATGCCCCCCACAACTGTAGGAAAAGTATGACCCATTGAAACCTCTTTTACAGTTTGGAAGCAGGGGTGAGCAGACATTTTCTGCAAACTTGCAGGCGTGATTCCTATAAATGAAGCTTCATGGATTAAATATCGTTCAGCAAAGTATATGAAAGTTAAAACGTGTTTACTCAATTCTAGAAGTAAAGTTTAAGAAACACATTTTAAATGTGCCCATAGAACTATTCTACTAGTCTATCCCAGATACTGCTTTATTCCTAACACAGACAAAACAGAGGATAACATTTCAACATGCCCGACATTAGCTTTATTCAACTGGAAAATTCCCAGTCACAGATTCTAAAACTGTTCCAATATAAATATATTTTACAAAACCATTATTACCCAGTGACTGATTTTGGATCCCAACCGACAGTTTAACCCCTTAAGGACACATGACGTGTGACATGTCATGATTCCCTTTTATTCCAGAAGTTTGGTCCTTAAGGGGTTAAAAGTCATTGTGACAAATACAGCTATAATATGATGAAGACTAACTTGGGCCAACACTCAAATGTTAGAGAGACACTATAGGCACCCAGACCACTTCAGCTCATTGAAGTTGGTCTGGGTGCATAGTCCCAGTCCCCTTAACTCTGCAAATGTAATTATTGATGTGTTTAAAAAAAACTGCAAT